AAACTTTATTGTTGATGCAATTAAAATGCCAAAGTTTGAAGCAGGTTTTATATTTTATAAAATATAAAAGTTTGTATAAATTGTGTTGAAATTTAAAAAATCAAATTGTTAAAGGGTATGGGAAAATGGAACAATTTATATTTAAAATCTAATAAAAGAAAAGACAAATTGACAAAATTTTATAAATATGTCCATAAAAAAAACAAGCTATATATCAATGTGATGTGTCCTTGGTATTTTTAATAGTACTTTATTTTTTTTTTCCAAATTCTATTGATCAAATAAATAAGTAGTCTTTATGTTCAGACTGAAACCAAATATTTGTTACATTTTATGTTGCCAAGTTATCCATCAGTTATGAAATAAGGAGCTGTGAAATGATTGCCAGTGAGACAGCCATCTGCCCGACAACAGTAACTTTTTAGAGTGTATCCGGGTCATTGTGACAAATGACAACAATCTGCTGTAGTCACACTCTGATTTGTATATGATCAAAGTGTTGAAGATACACAGAGCTTCTGGTTCAAAAGGTTTAGAAAAACTTGTTATAATGGCAGAGATTAAAATTAAAAAAAAAGATGTGACTGCAATGAGAATATTCTCCAAAAACAAAGACGTTAACAACGTTGTGTCACCGTACGGCCTTCAAGAATGTTAAATACCCATATTGCATATAATGGTGTTGTGAAGGAGAGTAATGGCTAGATAATTTTTAGAATGTGTCGCCATCAAGTAAATCATTGTTTGCCCTCTGCATAGGATTGGGATCTAACATCCCACCCATACACTTGAATGAGATAAAGGACCAGGAAATGATTTTTATTTAGACCACATGTGAAGTTCATCAAAATCAACTATAAAAAAAGTAACAAATCTGTAAAGAATTAAACACAAAGTATGCATTATACATGTTTTTTTCGGAAAATCTGTGATTCAACAATGTATCCTTATTAGGCCTTATTCATAACAATGCAGTAGAAAGTTATAATGTTCCACGATGTGTATCAATCTGTCTAATAATTAGGTAGACACTGGTTTATAAATGAACACATTGGTGTCAGTGCTCTTCACTAAAGTTGCCCTTGGTTAAAGGGTCTGAAATTTCAATCTCCCTTCCCAGAATGGACCACAAGGGTTAATATCGTTGATGTTGTTAGAATGAAAATATATACCAGTCGACTGGTATGCGTATAAAATTGTGTTTATAGCGGACAATGTATAACGCATATCATTCGACTTGCATATAGTTCCATCCCAAAAACATCAATGACACGAACCCATGTGAATGCACAAGATATATGGTCATGACACATGTCAGTTCAAAATATACCATGTTAAATGGTGGGTATCTAAACAAATGTCCATATAATTAAGGAGATGAGGGGTAGGGGTTTGACACCAAGCGAACAAAATTAATTGCAGACTGAAACAGAATAGTCATTGCAAATAAGAATGTATACAGTTTAAAATTGAGGATGAGAATAGTTTTCAAGATCTTTTATGTTTAACAGTTAATGATATATCTGGAGCGAGGGATGTCACTGAGGGACAACACTACGATGAACTAGAAAGGTTTTATCAAGGCAAATCAGACTATGGATGGTTTAGGAAGGAGATTTGTACCATTTCATTTAGAGATATTCACTTTTTTATTTCATTAGGGGTCGGGACATGATCTGAAGGTACACATTTGTGTTTGCATTGGAATGATCTTGTCTTGTCATGGCTAGCAAGAACAGTATATTTGTCTGCAGCATTTCCTGAAATGGCAAAAATTAAACTTGTATATTTGTGGATTGTTCAACAATCACAATGATTAATGGATGCAATAATTTCTGAAATCAATGTTGACCTTGAATGATCAAGGTCAAAATTTTTCTTCTATGGAACCCAACACATTAGCTTGAGGTTCTACATCCATAAGCCAAATATTAAAAGTTGATGTCAAAAGATGAACAAGCTGCCTTCCAGATACAAACCTGTAAGACTAATGACCAACTGGCCCATTAAATGAGAATCTTTGTCCATTGTCTAACATGATTGAGTACTATCATGGTAAAGATATGCGCAACCAACAGAAACACACTGTTTTGTGAGCAAGATACACAGTCTTGGGTGCTACGGCAACCAAATAATTATAGTGGAGAAGTGACAACATTTTTCTTTATTAGGATATATACAATAAAAATTCAAAATAAATGGTGTTATGCAATTTAATTTATATACTATCATTGCAGTTTGCCTAAGCAAAGTTTTTCTCATATCCTACAATTTTCACGATTTTTTGCATTATTTAACCTTCTTTTTTTGCAAAATTGTTTGAACACTAACATAGATCTACACTGATATCTAGGTAGTATACTTCAGAAATTATTGCATGCATTTATTATTGAATTTTTTGAAGAATGGACATAAATTCGAGACTTATTATTGCAATTTCTGGAAAATATACATACAGATATATGTATCAGATATCCGAATGCGAGTTCTTAATATTGCAATACTCACCCAAGTCGCATTATTTGCCATCATAAAAACCTCGCAATAATTTCTGAATGTACAGTAGTCATAAGTGATGTTTTCTTCCAGTGATAGACAATTTAAAACTGATACAAACTGGCTTTGTTGCCATATATTTCATTAGAAATTCGCCGTTATTATTATATATATTATATATTCCAAATCAGTATTTTCTTGGGAAAAATTTGTTGATTATATGATGAATCACTGAAGCATCCCCTCTTATGGCAGTCAGTGCCCCCAACCCCCCCTTATAAAATGTTCCGGATCCGCCACTGACGATGAGATACGTAAAAATAAGATCCAACTTTATATAATTCCAATACATATCGCATGTGTATATTTTCCTTTAAACCTGTTTGATAAACAATTTAATGCTGTATTGATTCAGAATCAGAAAACCGTTACTTAATGAATATGATAAAGTGTGAATTTATCTTCAGTCGTGTTAGAATTCATCAGGTGTCATCATCAGCGATGTATGAACTAAAAGGGGTTCACCTTCAGAGATGAGTGAATATGTGAGGCTTCAAAATGAATATTGTATGAACTTATGAGGAATCGTCATCCTTGGAGTGTAAATAAATGGGATTTTATGATGCACTGTTATCATCAGTGATTTGTGAATTTGTGAAAAATCATCATTAATGAATTTGAATTGATTAGAATTCAGAATCAGTGAATTGTAAATTTATGATGATTCATCATTTATCAACAATGAATCTAAGAGTATTAGTCATAGGTGAATAACATTAAATAAAAATTTTAGTGAAGTGTGCGGGTTTAATCATTCATCGTAGGGATGTTGGTAATCTATATCAATTGTAAATGAATTATGAGGGATTCACCATCAAAGGTGTGTGAACTTATGAAGATTCGTAATCCGTATTATATGAATGTGTGTGGATTCATGATCAGTGGAGGGTATATCAATCCTGTTTTGTCATTTTTGAAGTGCAAATGTATTAGAAACCTTTAACAGCGAAATGTAAAGTTATGACGATACACCATCAGTGAAGTGTAAATTGATGATGCGTAGTGGATGATCAGTGGCATTTGTATGCATATGTCATCGTCTTTAGTTGTGAGTGAAATAATAAACATTCATCATAGGTGGGGTGTGGTCTTCAACATAAGTGTAATATGAGATAAGAACTCAATGTTGTGAAAACTGATCTAAGATACCATTCTTATAATGTACTACGCCACACACACACACACGCGTTATCCATAGTCTGTGACACTTTTATTTCAGAAAAGGTTTGTTATTCTGTTTTATTATCTGAAAACACAACCAGTGACGTGTTGGGTTAGGTTTTCTATGAATTTAGTTTTCAAATAAGTGTCTATTTGTCTTTCTTTTTTTTTTATTGTTATTTGGGTGATAGTTGTACAATTTATATCCAGTGGTGTGTAAACCAATGATGATGAATCATCACTTAAATGAAAATTGATGAAGATATATCAGAATCTATCATTGGTGGTCTGCGAATTTATGAGGATTCATTATCATCACTAAATGGTGAATTAGTGATAATTCATACTTTGTGAGGGGTATAGTAATGAGGTTTCTTCATCAGTAAAGTGTAACGTTATGAGGACTCATCTTTCATGGCGATTTAAAGTCTTACAAATATTTGCTTTTGTCCATTAAACAACATTACTTTATGTTATTTCAGTATGAAGTGTATTAGGATCAAACTGAGCAGATACTATCAGATTATTACATGGCATTTTTCATATCAGATGTATCATCAGCCCGAGGTTCAATATCAGTCCAAGAACCGATGCTCGAGGGCTGATATTAACCGAGGGCTGATAATACATCTGATATGAAAAATGACATGTTATGATCTTTTTATCAGATGCTTCAACAATGGAAAAAAATCAACAGTTAAACATATTGATCCTTTTCAGTAGTTCTCAAGTAGAAGTTCAAAATCTGAGAATTTTACGGACGTCGGACACCAAATGTAATACATCCGATATGAAATCTTTCTATCATATGCCTTAACAGAGGAGAAAAACAACAGTATAATACATTTTTATATTGACGATAACAAAAATCAACAAAACATAATAGATACTGTTTGGAAAGTCAACATATATAAAGTAACTTTCTAAATTATGCTGGAAACTTTGAAAAATGCATTTATTGTCTCACTCAACTGTTGCATATTACATGATATAAAAAGTAAAATAACTTTCCTGTTTCCTAATAATTGTTTTGTACAATTGAAATGTTGTTCACTGAAAACGTACCATTGAGGTGTATTTTCCGGCATTTGCCGAGTAACGCCGGAATGCCATGCGATAACGTTACGGAAAGGCATGTGATAATCGTCGGAAGCATGTGATAAATTTGTCATATCAGCCCGCTAAACACCATTTCTGAAAATATGAAATTCACGTAAATGTTATTATCATACTGTAAAAATATAAGTTATTTAGTTTAAGTATATGATAATATCTATTATTACCTTATTTCTTGTTTCTCTATCACAGTCTACTGAAACAAGGAATGTGACGATCTCCAGGTGTCCAAAGTAGGCAGCATTTGATAATGGTGTATCTCTATCCTGAAATATCAACATAAAACCGACATCAAAACTTGGAACATTAACTGGACAACGGTGTGTAATAAGCATGAATACATTAATCATCAGATCAATCATTGGTCAAAGATGTCCAGTCACACATTTATCTGTATTCTACACACACCACAAATAAGCAACATGGACATCAAAACTCTCATTATAAATAACATTTTTTTAAAGAAATGTATAGCATGTCCATATTAATGAATTTATAACGATAACGATAAGACAAGTAACCTGAGAACCCACTATACTATATATTATTATATCAACTTGTTTATATTTTATCTAACTTGTCTTATTAAGATCATGCTTACATGCTTATTTAGTAAAATAATCAATGTTTAAAAAAAATAAGTTTCAAAGATGTATACAAGCATTGCATATTTTTGCGTGAATTTGAGTGAGCTTTACTATCAGTTTTTCTCCATTTCAAAGGGGGTCAGATTTACAAGTATCATAATTCGAATAAATGAGGATTCATCATCAGAAAAGTGTAAATCTATGAGGATTCATCATCAGAAAAGTGTAAATCTATGAGGGTTCACCATCAGAAAAGTGTAAATCTATGAGGATTCATCATCAAAAAAGTGTAAATCTATGAGGATTCATCATCAGAAAAGTGTAAATATATGAGGATTCATCATCAAAAAAGTGTAAATATATGAGGATTTATCATCAGTGGTGTATGAATTTATAAGGATGCAATATCAGTGAAGTGTAATTGTTTTTTATTTGAATTAAGTGGTGTTTGAATTCAAAGGGGATCACCATCAATAGCGTATGATGTTTTGAGGATTCATAATAAATACTGGGAATGTTTCATCAGTGAAGTGTAATTAAATGAGGATCCATCATCAATAGTGTGTGAATTTATGAGGATGAATTATTGTGAAGTGTGGATTTATTACGATTCATCTTCAATGATGTTGAAATTGAAAAGGTGTTTTTTAATAAATGGTGCGCGAATGTATCATGTATCAACATCAGGGGTGTTTATATCTATCAGGATCCATTATCAGAGGTGTATGAATGTTTAAGGATTCATTATCAGAGTTGTTTGATTTTTTAAGGATTGATCATAACTTGCGTGTGTATTGATCAGGGTAAATCACCAGTAAAGTGATATTGTATCAGGGTTTATCTTCAGTAAAGTGTGAATGAATGAGGATCAATCATCAGTGAAGTGGATATTTTAAGATTTTAAAGTAGTGGTGTTTGGAGTGATGGGGACTAAATAATCATCAATGGTGTGTGAATTTGTCAGGATTCATCTTTAGTGGTGTTTGGAGTGATGAGGACTAAATGATCATCAATGGTGTGTAAATTTGTCAGGATTCATCTTTAGTGGTGTTTGGAGTGATGAGGACTAAATGATCATCAATGGTGTGTGATTTTGTCAGGATTCATCTTTAGTGGTGTTTGAAGTGATGAGGACTAAATGATCATCAATGGTGTGTGAATTTGTCAGGAATTCATCTTTAGTGATGTTGGAGTGATGAGGACTAAATAATCATCAATGGTGTGTGAATTTGTCAGGATTCATCTTTAGTGGTGTTTGGAGTGCTGAGGACTACATAATCATCAATGGTGTGTGAATTTGTCAGGATTCATCTTTAGTGGTGTTTTGAGTGATGAGGACTACATAATCATCAATGGTGTGTGAATGTGTCAGGATTCATCTTTAGTGGTGTTTGGAGTGATGAGGACTAAATAATCATCAATGGTGTGTGAATTTGTCAGGATTCATCTTTAGTGGTGTTTGGAGTGATGAGGACTAAATAATCACCAATGGTGTGTGAATTTGTCAGGATTCATCTTTAGTGGTGTTTGGAGTGATGAGGACTAAATAATCATCAATGGTGTGTGGATTTGTCAGGATTCATCTTTAGTGGTGTTTGGAGTGATGAGGACTAAATGATCATCAATGGTGTGTGAATTTGTCAGGATTCATCTGTATTGGTGTTTGGAGTGATGAGGACTAAATGATCATCAATGGTGTGTGAATTTGTCAGGATTCATCTTTACTGGTGTTTGGAGTGATGAGGACTAAATACTCATCAATGGTGTGTGAATTTGTCAGGATTCATCTTTACTGGTGTTTGGAGTGATGAGGACTAAATAATCTTCAATGATGTGTGAATTTGTCAGGATTCATCTTTAGTGGTGTTTGGAGTGATGAGGACTAAATAATCATTAATGATGTGTGTATTTGTCAGGATTCATCTTTAGTGGTGTTTGGAGTGATGAGGACTAAATAATCATCAATGGTGTGTGAATTTGTCAGGATTCATCTTTAGTGGTGTTTGGAGTGATGAGGACTAAATAATCATCAATGGTGTGTAAATTTGCCAGGATTCATCTTTAGTGGTGTTTGGAGTGATGAGGACTAAATAATCATCAATGGTGTGTGAATTTGGCAGGATTCATCTTTAGTGGTGTTTGGAGTGATGAGGACTAAATAATCATCAATGGTGTGTGAATTTGTCAGGATTCATCTTTAGTGGTGTTTGGAGTGATGAGGACTAAATAATCATCAATGGTGTGTGAATTTGTCAGGATTCATCTTTAGTGGTGTTTGGAGTGATGAGGACTAAATAATCTTCAATGGTGTGTGAATTTGTCAGGATTCGTCTTTAGTGGTGTTTGGAGTGATGAGGACTAAATAATCATCAATGGTGTGTGAATTTGTCAGGATTCATTTTTAGTGGTGTTTGGAGTGATGAGGACTAAATGATCATCAATGGTGTGTGAATTTGTCAGGATTCATCTTTAGTGGTGTTTGGAGTGATGAGGACTAAATAATCATCAATGGTGTGTGAATTTGTCAGGATTCATCTTTAGTAGTGTTTGGAGTGATGAGGAGTAAATAATCATCAATGGTGTGTGAATTTGTCAGGATTCATCTTTAGTGGTGTTTGGAGTGATGAGGACTAAATACTCATCAATGATGTGTGAATTTGTCAGAATTCATCTTTAGTGGTGTTTGGAGTGATGAGGACTAAATAATCATCAATGGTGTGTGAATTTGTCAGAATTCATCTTTAGTGGTGTTTGGAGTGATGAGGACTATATAATCATCAATGGTGTCTGAATTTGTCAGGATTCATCTTTAGTGGTGTTTGGAGTGATGAGGACTAAATAATCATCAATGGTGTGTGAATTTGTCAGGATTCATCTTTAGTGGTGTTTGGAGTGATGAGGACTAAATAATCATCAATGGTGTGTGAATTTGTCAGGATTCATCTTTAGTGGTGTTTGGAGTGATGAGGACTAAATAATCATCAATGGTGTATGAATTTGTCAGGATTCATTTTTAGTGGTGTTTGGAGTGATGAGGACTAAATAATCATCAATGGTGTGTGAATTTGTCAGGATTCATCTTTAGTGGTGTTTGGAGTGATGAGGACTAAATAATCTTCAATGGTGTGTGAATTTGTCAGGATTCATGTTTAGTGGTGTTTGGAGTGATGAGGACTAAATAATCATCAATGGTGTGTGAATTTGTCAGGATTCATCTGTAGTGGTGTTTGAATTGATGAAGTTGGATGGAATTCATGAACAGTCTTCATCACAGAGTCCAACATCAGGGAGTCCAACATCAGGGATGTATGAATTTATGATGATTCATATTCAGTATTTTATGAATGGATGAATATTTATCATCAGTGGAGTGTAAATTGATGAGTTTTGTTTTCATAGTGAAGAGTAAATGTATGAGTTATCATCATGACTGGTGTTTAAATCGAAAAACAAAATCATCTCTAGTAGTGTGTGAATTTATAAGGATCAGTCATCAGGGATGTGTGTTATAGTCAGGATGCATCATCAGGAATTGTTAGTTAATTAGATTTCATTAACAGTTATGGGTTAATGTTATAAGGGTTCATCAGTAAAGTGAAAATTCATCATAATGCATCATCATTGGTTTGATAATTTATAGGGCTTCACCATCAGAATTATTTAAATTTAGATGGTGATGTTTGAATGTATGGCGATTCAACTTCAGGGAAGTGTGATGTTATGATGTTCATCATCAGCGGTTTGGGAATTGATAGGGCTTCACAATCAGAGGTCTTTGATTTGAAATGGTGATGTGTGAATGTACATGTATGACAACTCACCTTCAGGAAAGTGTGTTTTTATAAAGTTCATCATCAGTGGTGTGTGAATTTATAGGGCTTCGCCATTAGATGTCTTTGATTTGTAATGGTAATGTTTCAATATATGACGTTTCACGTTCAGGGAAGTGTAGTGTTATGAGGTTCATCATCAGTGGTTTGGGAATTGATAGGGCTTCACCACCAGAGGTCTTTGATTTTAAATGGTGATGTATGAATGTTTTGACGATTCATCTGCAGGGAAGTATGATGGTCTGAGGTTCATCTTCAGTGGTGTTGTTTGTTTATTTATAAGGCTTCACCGTCAGAGGTCTACGTTTTTAAATGAAAATGAATGTATGACGATTCATCTCCAGGGAAGTGTGATTTACTGAGGTTCATCTTCAGTGGTTTGTGAATTGATGAACATTCATCATCAGTGATGTGTGCATGTAAAGGCCTTTACAATTAGCTAAATGTTAATTGATGAACATTCATCATACGAAGTAGGTAGGGCTTCAATATCAGTGAAAATCATAGGCCTTGTGAAAACTGATCAAAGATAACGGTCTTAGAATTTACCATGCCAGATACACACTGTATCTAGAATATGTGAAATTGTCATTTAAAATGTTTAAGAAAATGTTTGTTATTGGGATTTTTTTTTCTTCAGAAAACACCCATTTTTTTCTTAGTGCTTTTATATCTTTATTTCAAAGAATTGTTTAGTGACTTTGTAAGTCTTTTCTTTGTTTTTGCCATGGCGGTGTCAGTTTCTATCGACTACTGAGTTTCGAATACTTCCTTTATATATTCCTTCTTTTTTAAGAGTTCACTTTTTTCCAGAGATAGATTACTTATTGACAAGATCAATTTTTTTTTCTATTTATAACCATAGATAATAAATTTAAACCTATTTTGTGGATGGAATGACTAGCATTTTGTGGTGAGTTCTAATTTCATATGTCTTATAATATCTGTATTTATATGGTGTCTGTGTCCTCACTTACTTCATCTCTACATTCCAAATCAGCTCCCTTTTCAAAGGATAGTTTCAAATCTGTTAAACTTCCTTCACGGGCAGCTTTAATAAGTTTCTGTAAGAAAAGCATAATGTTGATTACAAAATTGAACGGTTTTTGATCAAATCTACAGTGTACAGGAGTGCACAGTTTATGGATATGTTTACATGTTTTACAGAACAAAACAATTATAATGTATACTCACATAAGGTATCACTAATATTATTAACATATTTGTATAATGAACCTGCAGCAAGCGCATAATTTTAAAAATATCGCCGATTTTATTCAATTTTGATATCTTACACTGTATATATGAAATACGAAGCTATAATATATTCTATAATGAATGGTAAGTATTTGAATTTTAATTAATATTTAAAACGTAGCTGCTAAGTTCTGAAAAAAAGGCGTCCATATTATGATAGTTTCTTTTTCGTGTGACATTGATTAAACATGAGATAGTAAAGCCTTGATAATAACAATACACTCCTGCAGGTTTTTTTTTTCTTTCTTAAACTACCGAATGAGACGTATTACCGGGTTTGTACTAACATGAGCAACACGGAGGATGCCACATGTGGAGCAGGATCTTCCTACCATTCCGGAGCACCAGATATCACCCCCAGTTTCTGGTGGGGTTCGTGTTGCTGTCTTTACTTTTCTATTTTGTGTTTTGTGTACTATTGTTTGTCTGTTTGTCTTTTTCTCTTTAATTAGCAATGACGTTGTCAGTTTATTTTCGACTTATGAGTTTGAATGTCCCTTTTGTATCTTTCGCCTCTCTTTTTCGGGATTAAGAATGATAATAACTAATAAATTTAATTTTACCAAATAAAAGAATTGAAGGGTGTTCTTCATTTATTTGAAATAAAAAAAAAAAACAAGTGACGAATTTCATTTTTAGAAAGAATTACAACAAAGAAGCCCGCCTCCGGGTGCGGTATTTTCTTGCAGTGTTGAAGAATAATTTGTTGCCTTGGATTGTTTCTACTCTTTGGTCGGATTGTTGTCTCTTTGACACATTCCCGTTTTCATTCTCAATCTTGAGCATTCATCTCTTTATTGAATTTGTCTCTTTGTGAGTATTTGTATTTTCATGCATTCCGCTAATGATATGATATAGTAAGGACGTAATTATATCATTGCTTTTCTTCCTGTCTCCACCTGAGAACACCCCAAACATGTATCTTTCTGTGTGATAGTAAACAAAATTAAGGCAAATGACAACTGGAAAATTTAAAAGAATCTTACCTCATTCCAACTAGCCATTATGTCCTGCAAATAGAACCCAAATTACTCTTTTCTGTTGGTTTTCCAACTTTATATATATTATTGCTCTAATAGTTGTGAACAATGTCTCTTAGCGCTACATCATTGACCTTAAGGGGGTACACAACACCTAAGAAAGATAACTCTTACTCATGGTCTGTTTCATTGTAACGTTTTAAAATCACATGCAATATGCAAGTACTTAAAAGATCCTGATCAGACTGTTTACCTTGTTGCTCAGAGCAGATGTACACCTATTGTTATTCATTTAATCTCTAATCCATTTATAGTTACACATTTTCCATCAATAAATCTTCAAAGAGACAAAATAGGAAAATTTCAAAGTAAAATACATTTACAAAAGAAAACAAAGTGGCAAATGAAGGGAAACAGAAAGGACCGTAACTGTTTTCGTTTTTGGACCCAGGCCTTACATATAATATAACAAAGTATAAAGCATAAAAAGTTAAATGCCTGACAATAAGATTAGAACCAAGTAAATAAATATGCTTCTTTTCGAACCAAATTGATTAAAATCGTAACAGAATTGACTGCACGATACTTTTTTTTGAAAACAGCAGTTTTAAATGAAATACACTTCATAGTTTGTAAAATTGTAGGTTACGAATAATTTATACATGACATGTGTATTTGTGTGTTGAAAAAACGCTGGCATGTTTTTTTTATTAAATTGAAAATTTTAGGACATGTATGATTTATATTCATATAAAAAGTCAGAAGATATCAAGGGGATAACAAACCAGTAGTGCACCATTTACAAGTTAAGGAACAAAGACAACAACAAGATAACAAAAAACATCAGATTCAGTCCACGAAACATTACAATATATCATTCAACTCTCTGTTTTCGACCTCTATCCTGGCAGGTGTAGAAAATAAACAGGTGTCTTCTTTTCCGTCCGCAATTTTTGGGGAAAGTAAATTCTAAATTAAGAACCATGGTTGAAACTGAAACTACACATGTATGATAAAAATAGAACATGTGAGTTTTGCTTTATCAAATTCTTATTTCGAAGGGATAGCAAAATTTGTTTTTTTTTTGTTGTGCTTTTGGGTATCTTTCCGAATTTGCGAATGCAATTTTGTATATTTTAAAAAAAGATGTGGTATGATTGCCAATGAGACAACTCTCCACAAGACACCAAATGACGCAGCAGCTAACAGCTATAGGCCACCGTACGGCCTTCAACAATGAGCAAAGCCCATACCCCATAGTTAGCTATAAAAGGCCCCAAAATCTTAAATGGAAAACAATTCAAATGAGAAAACTAACGGCCCAGTTTATGAACAAAAAATAAACGAACGAAAAACAAACATGAACACGGCAACAAACGACAACCACTGAATTAAAGGTTCCTGACTTGGGACAGGCACATACATACAGAATGTGGCGGGGTTAAACATGTTAGCAGGGTCCCAACCCTTTCCCTAACCTAGGACAGTGGTGTAACAGTATAAAATAAGAACGAACTATAAAAATCAGTTGAAAAAGGCCTAGTTCATCAGACTGATACAAATGGAAATACGTATAATAAAAACATAGAGTGGACATGGCCGGGTACTTGTACATCCAAACAACAAAAAGACACTAAGTACGGATCTGAGCGTACTCACAGTTACTGACAGCTAGCTCAAAGCCAATAACAACTAATAAAAAAAATCAGGCATCTAAGACTCCATAATCAATCAGTGCACATCCAACATCCAATGGATTTAGTGTAAAGACGTCATAAACAAAGTTTTCTTCTCAAGTCTCAGTTCAAGATTATCACTGAATAGAGTATAAGAGGCCAAACAATAATGTGACACTTGTAACTGCAGTTTGATATTTCATGGAATGAGAGGTGGAATGAGTTGAAAACTCTCGCATTTTGATAGCATTTTAAGACTGATCTGCTTTAAACTAAAAACAAGTTGTATCTTATTTTTCATAACCTCACCAGAAATATTATTAAATTATATGTTTAACGAACTTAATGCTTATGCATAAGGATCTTGCACGTTCGGTTCTTATTTATCACCTAGTTCGGATTTTCAGGAGCCGTGGTTCTTTGCACCAATGGATTCGTCGTTCATTTTTGAATCGTTTATCTTTTCTTTTTAAATCTGTACACCAACAAAACTGAAAATCGTGTTCATGTAAAATATCTGGCGATCTTAAGAATTTGCCTATGCATCCTATGTATTTTTGGCGTCTGATGCTGTTATTTTCAACAATTCGTATCTCCTATTTTTATTTTATTATTTCATGTACTTTTACACGCAGAATCCATATGTGAAATTAAAAAAAACATTATGTAGAGTAGTTAAGTATGTACACTTCGCCTCAATAGAAACTATACCTTTTTTTTTATTTTTTATGTAACTACATGTCCTTTATGTATTCCGTGTGCGTGGCATTTGTTGATTATCATAATGTGTGTCTTTATTGGTGTCGATTAGAGCTTGTGTAATATGTATTTGTTAACTAAATATTGACTCTCAATAAAACTTTGAATTCAATTGAATATCAGGCCTAGGTCAAAAGACAAAAGTCATAGCCTTTTCGAGTGTTTCTTACCAAAAATACAGTTATCGTTCTCGAGGTCAAAGTTCAAAGTCACATGAAGGTCAAAACTGTAAGGGGCACACCACCTCATGATGATACATCCACATGCCAAAGATGTAAGGTATATGTCAAAAGACAAAAGAAGTTATTGCCTGGATGTGTTTCTTGCAAACAAATACATTAAGATGACCTTGAAGTCAAATTTGAAGGTCACATGAAGGTCATCAAGATACAAGACACTTGACCTTATGACTATACATCCACATGCCAAATATCTAAGGCCTAGATCAAAAGACAAAAAAAAGTTATGGCAAATAAGTACTATCAGAATGGGACTTGCTCTAATTTATTGAAGGTGGGGGTATATTTTAACCTTGAATTGAAAACAATCTGATGGTTAAATTGTTGTAAATTGTTGCGAGAATAACAGAATGATATAGTACTACAAATGGTTAGTTTTCAAAAAAAATATTTTTTTTAGTTAACATTTTTATCTTAAAATATTTGACTAATTATAGTCATTTTTGATTGCTTCATCTTAGACCCCCATTTTTATTTCAGACTAAAATTTAAGTTTAGAAACAAAAACTTACAAATAAAGGGTATCAATCAACTCAAAATTGCCTGGTTCATCACTATTAACTATGCTTTTGTCAATTTAGACTTAAGTTAAAAAAAATAACATGTATACCCCTTTACCAATATTTCTGGAACTTCAAAAATAGACCGAAATTACCATGTGAACCAAGCCATATTTGGGTGGCCATATCTTTTTTACCAACGGTTCAAATCTTTAAAAAGTTTAACATGATGTCCAGCTAGGCTTTACTTATCAATGAGATGAAAAAAAGAAAAATTCACCGACAGGTTTTTTTGGGGGTATAGTGTTGGGTACCCCCTTAATGATCCTCCCTCTGTTGTTAATTGCTAATGAAAAAGGGGGGTTTAATCAGCATAATGATCAATTACTAATGTTCTGATTTATTTAACAAAGTATTTCTGGAACACATGTATACACATATTTGGTGACACTTAAACAATCAAGGAAAAAAATACGGATTTGTGTCCGCCCTCTGTTTTGATTTTTATTCGAGTTTCAAAACCGAAAATAGAATTAATCGTACAAGAATGGTTGATAACAATTTTTTATTTCTCGTAAAAATGTAAGTAATTATTGCATTTATTATGAATGTCTTTACAATGATATCTAATTATTCAAAGAGTTCAGACACGACAGAAATGTGCAAATTTGTAAGCATAATATAATCGACCATTTTTGGTTAAGCAAATGTGATTAATCGTAGGAAGTGTTGACAGACGGACAATGATATACCTACGTCCTGTCGTCGTCAGGTGTACAAAGAGGGGCATTTACAGCTCACTATATGATATAGATTTGCTCATTGTTGAAGTCAAAATTTGTCAAAAACATACGACAGAGATACATTTGTTTATTAGTTACCGCTATCTTGAGTTGTCATATACAGACAAGGACACTCTGGGCCACAGGAATGAAAGCAAACTGTGGGTAATGATGTTAAAAAAAGACAATACAAGATCCTCTTGGTATACATCTACATGTCCCAAGTTTTTTAGCAGCTGATATAAAATGTATGATTTGTATTTGTTATAAATATGTAAATGTTAAAATTCAAACATGGAAATTTCAAAATGGATATATGAATGTTTTATTATATTTCGTCTTCTTGTTTGTGTCAAGTAATCGTTATTCGTTATTATTTTCGTTGGTTGGATTCCCTTTTTTTTCTGTTTTGTTGTTGTATAAAATCAGGTACATTCATGGCTTTTCATGATGGAGGAATTATTGAAACTGGCAAAGACTGTGCATTAAGTATGTGATAACTAATCATCTGTATTTGGGTATTAATATTTCTTGAAAGTAAAACGTGTTTGATTAAAATAGCCTCTTTGTTCAAAAACAATGTTATTTCTTTTTGAGGCCCCCTTCGAGCATTCAATTGTTTCAATTTTAGGAGTTTGACTACAGTTTGGTTCAGGTATTGGTTTAAGTAGATTTAAAGCAACCAAGCCCCTTTCTTTTTCCGAATTTTTAATTTTTATGATTATTGTATGCGATTTATTTCAATTGAATGAGACATTTCATGGTTATTGATATTACATTTGTGTATTTATTACATTACTTTATAGTCCAAGGATGTAAAGCCAGACATTACAACTATTAAGATCTATGGTCGTTTATACAATTGTCTGAGCTCCTCCTATTCTTTCTTTTTTTTTTTCTTCATATAAAGAGCAATCAATGGCGGGATTTGTTAGTGCAATAAATAAGAAAAAAAAACATTCAGTTAATGAGCTCCTTTAACAACAAAAATTTACAACACACTACCATCAAAAGAAAAACACTTCATTCCTGTTTCAAATATACAGATGGGTGCAGTCCTAACCTGTACAGCAAGTTAACTTGATAACCAGTCATTTGGACTGGTCAAAGTTAACCTGTGACCGGATTTAGGACTGCTCTGACCAGTCCTAGGACCATAATCTAGTTCACTTGAAAAGCGGACTTGGTCCTAGGACTGTTTTTATGTCTGCCAAAACGTTAACTTGGAAACAGGTCCGCTATTGATATAAGTTAATTTCGAACCAGTCCTGTCATAAGTTAACATAAGTTAACTTCGAAACCAGTCCTGCCCTAAAATTAACATGAGTTAACTACGAAACCAGTCCTGCCACAAAGTTAACATAAGTTAACTTTTGCTTTGACAAATCCGATCGGAACCAGACCTGTTCCCAAGTTAACTTTTGACTGGTCTGCTCAACACTTAGTTAACTTGTAACCAGGACCGCTCTACATCGATTTTTTAAAAATATTTTTTAATATCTTTGTTTCGTAGTATAAATATCGAAAATAAAGTAAAATTAGTACTTCCGTTATTTTATAAACAGGATTAACTATAAATATTTGAAAATAAAGTACACATAAAACGTTGCTTGTAACACAAATTTATCTGTGATCTGCCAATCTATAGATTAAAAAACGATCTTGGTTGCAATGATAACGGGCACTGAATATATATATTCCAATACCTATCAAATTCAACCATATTAGCACTTTATTATGTATATATATGAAAGGACGTATATTAGATGTTAGTTATACGTCCTTGTTAGTTATATGTCCTTGTTAGTTAAACGTCCTTGATCTATGTAGCCACAATCAGCAATATTTTAATTTCAGGATTGAATTTATTATACAAATTGAAAGCATCATTTACACACATGACTACAAATGTTTGTTCGCATACATTTAGGGTGCCAGCATGTCCTCCTTTTATTCAAAATATTGATACGTAACAAAATTTCAGTAGTTTTGATACCTCATGCTGACTTGTACAACAGAATTGTTTGACCTCATCGACCAAAACAGACCATATGTGCACTTTAATTTGTAAATCTTTATACCCACATATTAAATCAGCCACATTTTTTATGTCAGGATTCAATGTGTAATACAATGGACAGCAATATTGCAATAAAATAACAACAAATTTTTATTCGCATAAATTAAGGTTGCCATTATGTCCTCCTTTTATTCAAAATATTGATACGTAGTAAAATTTCAGTAGTTTTGAAACCTCATGCTGACTTGTACAACAAAATTATTTGACCGCATCGACCAAAACTGACCATATGTGCACTTTAATTTGTAAATCTATATACCGGCATAGTAAATCAGCCATATGTTTTATGTCAGGACTCAATGTATAATACAATGGACAGCAATATTGCAATACAATAACAACAAATTTTTGTTCGCATAAATTCAGGGTGCCACCATGTCCACCTTTTATTCAAAATATTGATACATAACAAAATTTCAATAGTTTTGATACTTCATGCTGACTTGTACAACAAAATTATTTGACCGCATCGACCAAAACTGACCATTTGTGCACTTTAATTTGTAAATCTATATACCGGCATAGTAAATTAGCCATATTTTTTATGTCCGGATTCAATGTATAATACAATGGACAGCAATATTGCAATACAATAACAACAAGTTTTTGTTCGCATAAATTTAGGGTGCCAGCATGTCCTCCTTTTATTTAAAATATTGATATGTAACAAAATTTCAGTAGTTTTGATACCTCATGCTGACTTGTACAATAATTCTAGCCTTCGATTCGAAAATGTGGATTCTTTTACAAGTATAACTCATGACTTGTAAAGAACTATGGCTGAGTCTAATGGTAATGAAAATATATTGATAAATTATGCTATACAACTCTTAACAGAAAGAAATGTTTGTGTTGTTTTAAGTCAAGAAAATACTAAGACAGAAAACGTTCAGGTGGTCACATCTCCAAAGTAATGTACCCTTTAAAACACATTAATGTATTCTTCAAAAAAACAAAATATTTGCCTGTAATACATTGACAATGGCTGACATGGTAATTTAGGTGTTAACTAAGTGAGATATGGTTGCATACAAATATCTAAAAATGCAGATATAGTACAAACATGACTTGCTATGTAAAATTCAAATTCATGGGATGTGAACTGGTTCCCATTTCAAACAGAGAAAACATGGTTTATCTATTGGTTTAAATTAGATTTAAATTTTATTTAAATAGTTTCGAGTACTCTTAGATCGGTACTTTGTGATTTTGTCTATTTGTTTAATTTCATGAATTGATGCTATACCACCGTCATAGATTTAAGGGAAGTTTTAACGCACAAGTTTAACCTCGCCACATCCTAATTAAGATTGACCCTTCTCGGGAGCTCTTTGATTAAGTGGTTGTCGTCCGTTGATGTCGGTCATATTTGATTTTTGTTTATCATTTATACATAAATCAGGATGTTTGTTTTCCCATTTGAAATATTTGATATTTTGTTATGCCGGTATTATTGTTAATCTATGTTGTGAAGACTGTAACGTGACGTATAGTTGTTAACATCCTCATTCTGTTTGTGTATTGTGGTCTGTTGTCTTATTGCAAATCGTGCAACATCCCCTTATCTTAGTGTGTAATTAAGGTACGTATACTAAACTAAAAGAAATAAATAGAGAAACAAATTATGAAGAAAATGTTTAAATGTTGATATGGAATTGATATCGTCGACAAATATAAACAGACGAACCAGGAGAAACTAAATTGTCTATATAGATAATTGTAGCAGATAAACATTTGGTACATGTGTCGATATCGACTCGATGTCGTCGATATCGTCGATATCGACATGTCAAAACAGACGAAACAGGACAAACTAAATTGTCTATTCATATAACTGTAGGAGATAAACATTTGGAACATAATTTTTCGATGTCGACACGATGTCGTCAATAATGTCGATATCGACATCTAGAATAAACGATCTGGGAGAAACTAAAATTGTTTATATACATAACTGTGAAACAGATAGACAGTTCGAACATAATGTGTCGATATCGACTCGATATCGTCGATATCGTCTATATCGACATCTTAAAACAGACGAACCAGGAGAAACCAAATTGTCTATATAGATTATCGTAGTAGATAGTCATTTGAAACATAGTGTGTCCATATCGACTTGATGTCGTCGATATCGACATCTTTATTAGACGAACCAGGAGAAACTATAAATTGTCTATATAGAAAAATGTAGCAGATAAACATTTGGATCATTATTTGTCGATATCTACTCGATATCGTTAATGTCGTCGATATCGAGACTACATTGTGTCTTGGACATATTTTTAATCGATTGGATGTGTGTCTTCATTGGAATACATCATTACTATTTGTAAAAGTACACTGATTTTATTCAGTAATTTTCTTAATTCCTTATGAAAATGTTAAAGGTTTTGTCAAATTACTACTCTGATCACGAAAAAAATAGATCATACTATCTACAGTGCAAGTTTAATTTTACTCAAAACAAACACTCTACTTCACTACAAATCACAGAACAGCACACTGTATTGGATTTAGTAAATGAATCTGTTATACAAATATATGATAGTCTGTAGAGCTGAACAGGCGAAGATTACCATTTACGTTTTGATATTTTATTCTTTACACATTCATAGCAAGTTGTTTGGGGGTGGAGGTGAACAAATTTAATGTTAACAAACTTAAGTGTCGAACTTTTAAATAAGCTGTATGCCAGGATACTAGAACACAGTCGTTTCATTTTTCATTCATTTTCTAAATTTGCTAATTTTTCAACAATATTTTTTTTACAGTTTACACTATTATTACTTACACACACAAAAAAAGCTTCTGAGAAAATCAGATATTTCTAAAATGCATCCACAAATACTGTTACTGCATTTAATCTGAAAAAAAAACATTTAAGGTAGATCATAGGTATATATGTCTTGAGATAGAATTTTCTTATACTTTGCCAACATGAAGATTTTACTATGCTTTTTTCAAAAATATAATAAAAAGTATGGGTCACCGTGCTATTTTTCAAGCTATGAGTCGTTGAACATTGCCTAAATGTGGTTACATTGTTCATGAAAAAACACATGTGTGTGCATAAAAAAAAAATCTACGAGATAGAATTTTGATATAAATTGTTATAAGATAGGTTTTATAATATGTTTTAAGAAAATAAAAAGAAAAAATGGTGTCACCGAACTTGTTTTCTTGCTACAAGTAAAAATAAAAAATGTCTTCCTTATAAGTCCAGTATATATGTTTTACTTAAAGAGTTATCTCCCCTTAAATGGCTTATTTGAAATAATATATTCTAAAAACACAAAATTTGAGTTATAAAATAAATCACTAAGTTTTCTTTATATATATAAACAGTCTAACCAATCAATTGCAAATCTGTCTTCAAATTTGCAGATTTGGGCAAAATACAATCCAAGATGGCGGTATACCATGAATCTACCTTACACAAATATATATTTTATACTAAATGAATAACCGGCTGTACAGTTTATTTATTTTGAAATATGTCCAAAATATCTGCGGCCTGTTCGCGTCTAAGTTTGTTGTGATAGTAACCAAATTCATTGCAATAGTGTTTTCAAGTCTCAAAAGACATTGACAGAGCCTACACTTGCTATGATATTGTAATATAAAAATGATGATTGATGGAAAAACAAGTACAAGAGCATGATGTCATTTGGAAAACCGTATTAAAGAGATTTAAGTGAAATCTGCATTGGATTTGATTTTCTATGCTCGTTTTGTAATATTACAAATCCTCACGTTTTTAAATGTTTATATCTATTGGCTTCCTCTTAAATTGACCTTATTACGAAATTTAACATTAAAACTGGATGTTTCAACGTCAATGTACCATGACAGAGGGGAATGGCCAAATAATATCTAAAGAAGATGTGATTATCACGATATGTGTTTGTGATGTTTGTCATATCGAGAAATGTCAATTCAACAAGTTCAACACTTACTTCAATCAATGAAGGAAAGCTCCAAATGACAGTGTGACACCATGGTACATAATGGTACGAGGACTTTACGTTTTATATAAGTACTTATTCACTGAATCATCCGGTGTATCCAATATATTTTTTTCATAAATATATACAGTATATTATCACATCACTTACCTTAATCAATGCATGAAATATTCCAATGACAGTGTGGCACAATGGTACAGGGATATTCGACGACTTTTTCAATTGTATCTATAGGGCCAAATTATTTTCACCTGAAACAAGCTTTTTAATTGAATACAAATCGTCGAACAGAACTCTGTTCCTCTTATATGATTTCTAACTCATAATATTATGTTTGTAAGCATAATTATCGATATTTTACCTTGCAAAAGTTTTAATATGAAGAGCATATTTAATTTTTTTTTCAAATAGAATGCATGTTCCTTGAATCCTATTTCTTTTTTATTTTGCAATCTGCTGTTCAAATCTCAAATTGTATTTAAGGATGTACTTAGGTGAAATTAAAAAAAAATATATAGAAATTAAAATTGATACTTTAAGTCGGAAGAGCATTAGTTAAGCAACAAACTAAGCTAAAAATATTGATAAGTTATGGACCTCCTTTTCGGGATATTTAAAAAAAAATTAAATGGCGGGAAAAGGCTGACTCGGACTTTTACCTTACAGTTGGGTGCAGACCAAGCATTACATAAAGTAAACGCAGGTTAACGCCGCGTGCACATATTTCGTTAGTGAACTTCAATTTTCGCGTTTACTAGTACACGCGCGTTTACTATAATTAAGTTAACGCGGTCAAAATGGAAATTTCTAATGTCTACCCGAGTAAACGGGCGTTTACTATGTGTCCGTTTAGTCAGTAGTAAACGGGCGTTTACTTCAGATTTCACAAGTTTATTTTTTACGTGCACTTAAAAGTAAACGGGCGTTTACTACAGATTTCACAAGTGTATTTCTACGTGCACTTGAAAGTAAACGCGCGTTTACTTTTCGCGTTAACTGATTGTGTAAATTAAGAAATAAACTTCGTGTTCATTTGCACATTAATTTTTAATTAAAACGAATTGTATCTTAATATTTTATGTACAAGTGTTTCAAACCAGAACAATTCAAAAACACTTTTAATTCGAAATATTAACTTTTATTAATTACAAAAAATCAGTTCCAACAATTTTCCCCGAGTTGCAGATTTTCTATATTTTCTATTCAAAAGTTACATGTACAAATATCGAGGCAAATAGAAAGGTTATCCAACACATCGGATAAATATTTGTATATGATGGGATATAAACATCATGGTATACGTTGCTTCGTTCCCCATTTTTAACAGTCTCTTCCTAAATATAACTCAATGCATTTAATACATGGATTTTTAATCGTGATTCACCTTGTTTGCCTTGGATTTACAAGATTTAAGATTCTGTTTTGCCAAATGTTCGATCGAGACAGACTTATCCATAACGATTATAAATGATATCTGGGACGTCCGAAAAATATACTCGTTCTGAACATGAAAAAAAATATTTGCCCCTGGACGTTAGGCTACAAACGAAATCTATTAACTGCCATAATGTATTAACAGTACACTTTTCCAAGAAGAGAACTTCGTATACTTTGGATACATGTTAACTCGTACTTTTCAGTATAAACTACTTTAATCAGTCATGTCAGTGTTGGATGATGCCGTTAAATATTATAGTTTTGTTTTAAATACAAACCATCCCGAACTACTGACTTAAGTGACAGTTCATTATGCAACTATAAAGATTTCCATAAAAAATGCAAATATGGTCAGTTTTGGTTGATGCGGACAAATAATTCTGTTATATGAGTCAGTCTAAGGTATAAACACACTAAATTTGTTTATTATTCAATATTTTGAATAAAAAGAGTACATGCTGGCACTATAACTTGATGCGAACAAAATTGTGTAGTCATTGTTTTCTAATATTACTGTCATTCGTTTTATACAGATCCTCCTGACCTAAAAATATAACTAGTTTACTATGCAGCTTTATAGATTAGCATGATATAGTGCAAATATAATCAGTTTGGGTTGATGCGTACCAATTATTTTCTTATACGAGTCAGTCTGAAGTATGAAAACTACTGATAATTCCTTATGATTCAAAATTTTGAATAAAAACAGGACATTTTGGCACTCTCAATTGATGCGAACAAAATTTTGTAGTCATTGTGGTCCAATATTGCTATCATTTGTTTTATACAATCCATCCTTACATAAAAATATAACTGATTTACTATGCGATTATAAGATTTACATAAAAAAGAGCAAATTAGGTCAGTTTTGGTTGATGCAGACAAATAATTTTGTTATACGAGTTAGTCTGAGGTATAAAACCTACTGATATTTGTTCACGATTAGATATTTTGAATAAAAAGAGGACATGCTGGCACTATAAATTGATGCGAACCAAATTTTTTAGTCATTGTGTTCCAATATTTCTGTAATTTGTATTATGCAGTCCCTTCTGACCTAAACATATAACTGAATTACTGTGCAGCTCTATAGATTAACTTGATAAAGTGCAAATATGGTCAGTTTTGGTTGATGCAGACAAATAATTTTGTTATAAGAGTCAGTCTGAGGTATAAAAACTACTGATATTTGTTTACGATTAGATATTTTGAATAAAAAGAGGACATGCTAGCACTATAAATTGATGCGAACCAAATTTTTTAGTTAATGTTTTCCAATATTGCTGTCATATGTATCATACAATCCATACTGATATAAATATATTACTGATTTAGTATGCGACTATAAGATTTACATAAAAAAGAGCAAATTAGGTCAGTTTTGGGTGATGCGGAAAAATAATTTTGTTATACGAGTCAGTCTGAGGTATGAAAACTACTGATATTAGTTAACGATTCAATATTTTGAATAAAAACAGGACATTTTGGCTTTCTCAATTGATGCGAACAAAATTTTGTAGTCATCATGATCCAATATTGCTATCATTTGTTTTATACAATCCATCCTTACATACAAATTGTATTCATTGTGGTCCAATATTGCTATCATTTGTTTTGTACAATCCATCCTTGCATACAAATTGTATTCATTGTGGTCCAATATTGCTATCATTTGTTTTATACAATCCATCCTTGCATAAAAATATTACTGATTTACTATGCAACTTAAGATTTATAGAAAAAATGAGCAAATTAGGTCAGTTTTGGTTGATGCAGACAAGTAATTTTGTTATACAAGTCAGTCTGAGGTATGAAAACTACTGATATTTATTTACGATTCAATATTTTGAATAAAAACAGGACATTTTGGCACTCAATTGATGCGAACAAAATTTTGTAGTCATTGTGGTCCAATATTGCTATCATTTGTTTTATACAATCCATCCTTACATAAAAATATAACTGATTTACTATGCGATTATAAGATTTACATAAAAAAGAGCAAATTAGGTCAGTTTTGGTTGATGCAGACAAATAATTTTGTTATACGAGTCAGTCTGAGGTATAAAAACTACTGATATTTGTTCACGATTAGATATTTTGAATAAAAAGAGGACATGCTGGCACTATAAATTGATGCGAACCAAATTTTTTAGTCATTGTGGTCCAATATTTCTGTAATTTTTATTATACAGTCCCTCCTGACCTAAAAATATAACTGAATTACTGTGCAGCTATATAGATGGACTTGATAAAGTGCAAATATGGTCAGTTTTGTTTGATGCAGACAAATAATTTTGTTATAAGTGTCAGTCTGAGCCCACTCTGAGGTATAAAAACTACTGATATTTGTTCACGATTAGATATTTTGAATAAAAAGAGGACATGCTGGCACTATAAATTGATGCGAACCAAATGTTTTAGTCATTGTGGTCCAATATTTCTGTAATTTGTATTAAACAGTCCCTCCTGACCTAAAAATATAACTGAATGACTGTGCAGCTATATAGATGGACTTGATAAAGTGCAAATATGGTCAGTTTTGGTAGATGCAGACAAATAATTTTGTTATACAAGTCAGTCTGAGGTATAAAAACTACTGATACTTGTTTACGATTAGATATTTTGAATAAAAAGAAGACATGCTGGCACTATAAATTGATGCGAACCAATTTTTTTAGTCATTGTGGTCCAATATTTCTGTGAATTGTATTATACAGTCCCTCCTGACCTAAAAATATAACTGAATTACTGTGCAGCTATATAGATGGACTTGATAAAGTGCAAATATGGTCAGTTTTGGTTGATGCAGACACATAATTGTGTTATAAGAGTCAGTCTGAGGTATGAAAACTACTGATATTTGTTTACGATTCAATATTTTGAACAAAAACAGGACATTTTGGCACTCTCAATTGATGCGGACAAAATTTTGTAGTCATTGTGGTCCAATATTGCTATCATTTGTTTTATACAATCCATCCTTACATAAAAATATAACTGATTTACTATGCGATTATAAGATTTACATAAAAAAGAGCAAATTAGGTCAGTTTTGGATGATGCAGACAAATAATTTTGTTATACGAGTCAGTCTGAGGTATGAAAACTACTGATATTTGTTTACGATTAGATATTTTGAATAAAAAGAGGAGATGCTGGCACTATAAATTGATGCGAACCACATTTTTTAGTTAATGTTTTCTAATATTGCTGTCATTTGTTTAATTCAATCCATACTGATATAAAAATATTACTGATTTAGTATGCGACTATAAGATTTACATAAAAAAGAGCAAATTAGGTCACTTTTGGTTGATGCAGAAATATAATGTTGTTATACGAGTCAGTCTGAGGTATGAAAACTACTGATATTTCTTTGCAATTCAATATTTTGAATAAAAACAGGACATTTTGGCACTCTCAATTGATGCGGACAAAATTTTGTAGTCATTGTGGTCCAATATTGCTATCATTTGTTTTATACAATCCATCCTTACATAAATATATAACTGATTTACTATGCGATTAAAAGATTTACATAAAAAAGAGCAAATTAGGTCAGTTTTGGTTGATGCAGACAAATAATTTTGTTATACGAGTCAATCTGAAGTATAAAAACTACTGATATTTGTTCACGATTAGATATTTTGAATAAAAAAAGAGGACATGCTGGCACTATAAATTGATGCGAATTAAATGTTTTAGTCATTGTGGTCCAATATTTCTGTAATTTGTATTATACAGTCCCTCCTGACCTAAAAATATAACTGAATTACTGTGCAGCTATATAGATCGACTTGATAAAGTGCAAATATGGTCAGTTTTGGTAGATGCAGACAAATAATTTTGTTATACAAGTCAGTCTGAGGTATAAAAACTACTGATGTTTGTTAACGATTAGATATTTTGAATAAAAAGAGGACATGCTGGCACTATAAATTGATGCGAACCAAATTTTTTAGTTATTGTTTTCCAATATTGCTGTCATTTGTATTATACAATCCATACTGATATAAAAATATTACTGATTTAGTATGCGACTATAAGATTTACTTGATGAAGTGCAGATATGATCATTTTTGGTTGATGCGGAAAAATAATTTTGTTATACGAGTCAGTCTGAGGTATGAAAACTACTGATATTTGTTTACGATTCAATATTTTGAATAAAAAGAGGACATGCTGGCACTATAAATTGATGCGAATTAAATGTTTTAGTCATCGTGGTCCAATATTGCTGTCATTTGTATTATACAGTCCCTCCTGACCTAAAAATATAACTGAATTACTGAGCGGCTATATATATTTACTTGATGAAGTGCAGATATGATTATTTTTGGTTAATGAGGTCAATTAATTTTGTTAAACGAGTCAGCCTGAGTCGGACAGTGTGAGATGTGAAAAATGCTGGATTTTGGTGATGATTTAATTATTTTAATAAAAGAAGGACATGCTTGAACTGTTTGTTTGTGCAGAAAAAAGAAATTTACTATGATCAATTTTCAATTAATTTAAGAGGTGTTATTAAATTATTAATTAACTGTTAATGTCTATCGAAAATGAACAGTTGGTCATTTAATTTTGATGTACTTTATCATTTGATATTTAAGGTCTGTGTATCCAGGATACGATGACAATTTGCGTTAACGCGCGTTTACTACAAACAGTAAACGTGCGTTTACTTTTGACGAAATTAGAAGACGGGCCTTTTTCACGTTAACGCGGAAGTAAACGCGAAAGTAAACGCCCGTTTACTCTTTACAAAATTAGAAGACGCGCCGATTTTGCGTTAACGCAAAGGTAAACGCGAAAGTAAACGCCCGTTTACTTTTTATGTCTACTGAAATTTCTGAGTTAACGCACAGTTAACGCGGCGTTTACTTGAAGTGCACGCGAGTAAACGCCACGTTAACTTATTCCGCCCGTTTACATGTAATGCTTGGTCTGCACCCAACTGTATATTTGCATTGGTTTTATTTGGGTCTCAAATCGAAAGAAAAGAAATCTAGAATCTGCTTAAAGTTTGGTTATTGACCTTTTATGAGCTATTGAAGTCTTATATGAAAAGAAAAATGGGTGTCATGGGGCAAACATTTGACCCTGTATCGTAGGAAAAAATCAAAGGAGTTTGAACACTTACACAAATTCCTAAACATAACCTAAGTACATCATTAAATACTTTCAGTTGATGACATTTTAACATCCTAGTCTCTCGTGTGTGTTTTCGATTTTTGTTGTTTTAAATTCTTGATAGTCTGTACAGTTAATCAGGCAACGAATACTATTTATGTATAAAAATTAAACAAATATATTTGCTATTTTCATTTGTTAGCACTGTGTTAATAAATCTGCTGGCTAACTGCTCGTCTTGGAGGGTATCTGCAGCCCAGTACTCTGTGTTTGCTAAGGACATTATTCTATAATTCCATACTCTTTTTAATGTCCGAAATTGTTCAGAAACCTAGCTTTCAATGAACTTGATTTTTAAAAGTTAATTTTGTCATGATGCAAATTCCTCATGTTTGTATATGCTTATATATATTGCTTTCCTCTAAATCTGACATAATAATACGTTTTAACATTTAAACTATGTAACTGTTTCAAAGTCAATGTACTATAGGGGAATGACCAAAAACTATCTATAGACAGGAGATGTGCTCAAACTGATATTTTATTTGTTTATTTATTTTTTTTTATGAGAAGAGGGTGAAATGTCGTTACACGATATTTCAATATAACACTTACCTAAAACAATGAGGGGATGGACAACATGGATGTAAACAAACTTTAGTGTCATACTTTTGGGAAAAAAATATATGTCAGGACGCTTGAACAGAGTCGTTTTATTTTCATTTAAGTTTTGAATCTGCTAACTGTTCAACGTTACATTTTGATACGTAATACACTAGTAATACATACACTAATGAAGAAGCCACCATTACGTTCAGATCTCTCTCGAAAAAATAGCTGTTACTTCATTTGATCTGAAAAAAAATTACATTCAAATATATATATATATATATTTATGTTGTTTGTGCAATATTTAAACCCCTCTAACAAGAAATTTGTTTTGCATGCACACGTATAAAAATTGCGGTTTTTATCCAACGCAATCATAGGTTTGAACGTTGTTTTCAATTAAGACTTGTTTATATTTTTTCGTTTGAGCTTGTATTATATTTGCCTTCGGGTTAATGATCCGTTCATCCTATTTTGACTACTCAAAATTCAAGAGTCTATCCTAAATTGAGGTAAATTGTATGGCTTTCCAAATACCGTTTCGATTCCTAACATCACTGAAGAGACATTAATTGTCGAAATCCGGATATGGTGTACAAAAACCTTTGCACCTTTTGTTTGCGGTATACCATCTTTTCCGCAAGTTTATTGTTTTCTGTTTAGTATTAAATTTATAATTAAGATCCATTTATTACATCGGTGATCCGTTTATTTGGCAATCGCCAATGGCAGTCAGCAGGGTTTAAGAACATTTGTTGTTCGACCTGTTAGTCAAATGCGTTTTGTTAAGATATACTTTTTCACATTTTTGGTCATTTGGAAAATGTTTGTTTGTGCTGTATTTAGACCCCTCTAACAAGAAATTTCTTTTGCATGCACACGTATAAAAATTGCGGTTTTTATCCAACGCAATCATAGGTTGAACGTTGTTTTCAATTTAGACTCGTTTATATTTTTTCGTTTGGGCTTGTATTATATTTGCCTTCGGGTTTATATGATCCGTTCATCCTACAGATGGGTGCAGTCCTAACCTGTACAGCAAGTTAACTTGATAACCAGTCATTTGGACTGGTCAAAGTCAACCTGTGACAGGATTTAGGAATGCTCTGACCAGTCCTAGGACCACAATCTAGTTAACTTAAAAAGTGGACTTGGTCCTATGACTGTTTTTATATCTGCCGAAAACGTTAACTAGAAAACAGGTCCGCTATAGATATAAGTTAACTTCGAAACCAGTTTTGTCATAAGTTAACACAAGTTAACTTTGATTTTGACAACTCTGATCGAACCAGACCTGATATCAAGTTAACTTTTGGCCTGGTCTGCTCAACACAAAGTTAACTACATCGATTTTTTTTTAATATCTTTTAATGTCTTTGTTTCTTGGTATAAACATAAAAAAATAAAGTCAGTTTAATAGTTCCGTGATATAAACATGATTAAATACATGTAGCTCCATGTTGAAGTGATCTATTTGTAAATAAAGTACACATAAAACTTTGCTTGTTTATATACAAATATATCCGTGATCTGCCTTTCTATATATTAAAAAAACGATAATGGTTACAATGCTAACGAGCTGAATATATATTCCAATAGTCATATCGAATTCTTAAATCGTATTAACCATATTTGCACTTTATAATGTAAATCTATATAGCCGTAAAGTAAATCAGAAATATTTTTATGTCGGGATAGAATATATAATACAAATGACAGCAATATTGGAACACAATCACTACAAAATTTTACCCGCATAAATTAAGAGTGCCAGCATGTCCTCCTTTTGTTCAATATATTGATACGTAACAAAATTTCAGTATTTTTGATTCCCCAGGCTGACTCGTATAGCAAAATTATTTGACCGTATCAACAAAAACTTACCATAGTTGCACTTTATCATGTAAATCTATATAGTCGCATAATAATTCAGTAATATTTTATGTCAGTATGTATTGTATAATACAAATGACAGCAATATTGGAACATAATGTGAACACAAAATTTTGTCCGTATCAATCTAGATTGCCAGCATGTCCTCTTTTTAATCAAAATATTGTCTCGCAACAAAATGTCAGTAGTTTTGATACCTCAGACTGACTCCTATACCAAATTATCTGACCATAACAACCAAAAACTGATCATATTTGCACTTTATTTTGTAAATCTATATAGCCGCATAGTAAATCAGCAACTATTTTTATATCAGGATTAAATGTATAATAGAAATGACAGCAATATTGGAACACAACAACTACAAATTTTGTCCGCATAAATTTAGAGTGCCAGGTGGGCATGTTCTCCTTTTTGTTCAATATATTGATACGTAACAAATTTTCAGTAGTTTTGATACCTCAGGCTGACTCATCTAACAAAATTATTTGACCGTATCAACCAAAACTGACCATATTTGCACTTTATTTTGTAAATCTATATAGCAGCATAGTAAATCAGCAACTATTTTATGCCAGGATTTAATATATAATACAAATGAGAACAATATTGGAACACAACAACTACAAATTTTTGTTCGCATAAATTTAGTGTGCCAGCATGTCCTCCTTTTGTTCAATATATTGATACGTAGCAAAATTTCAGTAGTTGTGATACCCCAGGCTGACTCCTATAACAAAATTATTTGACCGTATCAACCAAAACTGACCATATTTGCACTTTATTTTGTAAATCTATATAGCCACATAGTAAATCAGCAACTATTTTTATGTCAGGATTTAATGTATAATACAAATGACAGCAATATTGGAACACAACAACTACCTTTTGTTCAATATTTTGATACGTAACAAAATTTCAGTAGTTTTGATACCCCAGGCTGACTCCTATAACAAAATTATTTGACCGTATCAACCAAAACTGACCATATTTCCACTTGATTTTGTAAATCTATATAGCCACATAGTAAATCAGCAACTATTTTTATGTCAGGATTTAATGTATAATACAAATGACAGCAATATTGGAACACAACAACTACAAAATTTAGTCCGCATAAATTTAGAGTGCCAGCATGTCCTCCTTTTGTTCAATATACATGATATATTGATACGTAACTAAATTTCAGTAGTTTTGATACCTCAGGCTGACAAAATTATTTGACCGCATTAACCAAAACTGACCATATTTGCACTTTATTTTGTAAATCTATATAGCCGCATAGTAAATCAGCAACTATTTTTTTGTCAGGATTTAATGTATATTACAAATTATAGCAATATTGGAACACAACAACCATGACAACTACAAATTTTTGTCTGCATAAATTTAGAGTGCCAGCATGTCCTCCTTTTGGTCAATATACATGATATATTGATACGTAACTAAATTTCAGTAGTTTTGATACCCCAGGCTGACTTGTATAGCAAAATTATTAGACTGCATCAACCAAAACTGACCATATTTGCACTTTATTATGTAAATATTTATAGCCGCATAATAATTCAGTAATATTTTTATGTCAGGATTTAATGTATAATACAAATGACAGTAATATTGGAACACAATGAATACATACATTTGTCCGCATAAATTTAGAGTGCCAGCATGTCCTCCTGTTGCTCAATATCTTGATATGTAACAAAATTTCAGTACTTTTGATACCTCATGCTGACTGGTATAGCAAAATGTTATGACCGTATCAACTAAAACTGACCATATTTGCACTTTAGTAAGTAAATCTATATTGCTGCATTATATTTAATCAGAAGTTTTTTTTATGTCAGGATGTATTGTATTATAATACAAATGACAGCAATATTGGAAAACAATGGATGCAATATCTTTTCCGCATCAATTTAGATTGTCAGCATTTCATCTCTGTATTAATAATATTAGACCATCACTAAAGTGAGTAGTTCAGGATGGTGTGTATAACAAAACTATTTGACTGCATCATCCAACACTGACATGTCTGATTTCATTTTTACTTTATAATGAAAAGTATATGACGTTTTCTTCTGGGAATAGTATACTGTTGGTACATTATGTCGGTTGATTGAATTAGTTTGTAGCTAAACCTCAAGTGGCAACTATTTCATTCATGTGCACAACGAGTATATTGTTTTGGAAGTCCCATATCATCATTTTTAATCCGTAAAGACAAATCTGACGAAATTGACGAGATTGTTCATAATTATTCAACACCTTATGTATCCGGACACTGTACAATTTTCGTTAGAATATTTTATCGAAAACAGAATCGTAAATCCAAGGCAAACAAGGTGAATTACGATGAAATATCCATGTAATGCATGAAGTTTAATTTAGGAAGAGACTGTAAAAAAAGGTGAACGAAGCAACGTCGACAATGATGTTGATATCCCATGACATAAAAATATTGTTCCGTTGCGTTGGATAACCTTTCTATCCGCCTTCTGATTAAATAAAAACTTGCCTTTCTTTAATGATAGTTGTATGTGATCACAAGCGTGTAATTTTATAGCCATTGTTTAATGTATATAAGAATACATGAAATGAAAAAAAGATTTTTTTTTAATGTGTATAATATCGATGTATTAAAAGCTCAAGTCTGATATCATAAGTCATAAACACGGTAATCTGTCATAAGCAGACTTGTCCACAGGTCTGGTCTGGGGCAGACATGTCCTCAGGACTGGTCAAAAGCAGACTTGTCTACAGGTCTGGTCTGGAGCAGACCTGTCAATAGGTCTGCAGCAGTCCTAAAAAGCAGACCGTAGGTCTCGTCTACCAACGACAAAGTTAACTTGCTTGTCTGCTTAAAATTTCCCAAGTTAACTTGAAAAGCAGTCAACAAGTCTGCTCAAAGTTAACTTTTGTACAGGTTAGGACCACACCCATCTGTATTTTGACTCCTCAAAATTCAAGAGTCTATCCTAAATTGAGGTAAATTGTATGGCTTTCCAAATACCGTTTCGATTACTAACATCACTGAAGAGACATTAATTGTCGAAATCCGGATACGGTGTACAAGAACCTTTGCACCTTTAGTTTGCGGTATACCATATTTTCCGCAAGTTTATTGTTTTCTGTTTAATATTAAATTTATAATTAAGATCCATTTATTACATCGGTGATCTGTTTATTTGGCAATCGTCAATGGCAGTCAGCAGGGTTTAATAACATTCGTTGTTCGACCTGTTAGTCAAATGGGTTTTGTTAAAATATACTTTTTCACTTTTTTGGTCTTTTGGAAAATGTTGTTTGAGCTGTATTTAGACCCCTCTTACAAGAAATTTGTTTTGTATGCACACGTATAAAAATTGCGGTTTTTATCCAACGCAATCATAGATTTGAACGTTGTTTTCAATTTAGACTTGTTTATATTTTTTCGTTTGGGCTTGTATTATATTTGCCTTCGGGTTTATATGATCCGTTCATCCTATTTTGACTCCTCAAAATTCAAGAGTCTATCCTAAATTGAGGTAAATTGTATGGCTTTCCAAATACCGTTTCGATTCCTAACATCACTGAAGAGACATTAATTGTCGAAATCCGGATATGGTGTACAAAAATCTTTGCACCTTTTGTTTGCGGTATACCTTCTTTTTCGCAAGTTTATTGTTTTCTCTTTAGTATTAAATTTATAATTAAGATCCATGTATTACATCGGTGATCCGTTTATTTGGCAATCGCCAATGGCAGTCAGCAGGGTTTAAGAACATTTGTTGTTCGACCTGTTAGCCAAATGCGTTTTGTTGAAATATACTTTTTCACTTTTTTGGTCTTTCGGAAAATGTTGTTTGCGCTGTATTTAGACCCCTCTAACAAGAAATATGTTTTGCATGCACAATTATAAAAATTGCGGTTTTTATCCAACGCAATCATAGGTTTGAACGTTGTTTTCAATTTAGACTTGTATATATATATATATATATATATATATATATATATATATACAGCACAAACAACATTTCCCAAAAAGACCAAAAAAGTGAAAAATTATATTTTAACAAAACGCATTTGGTTTAAGAACATTTGTTGTACGACCTGTTAGTCAAATGCGTTTTGTTAAAATATACTTTTTCACTTTTTTTGGTCTTTCGGAAAATGTTGTTTGTGCTGTATTTAGACCCCTCTAACAAGAAATTTGTTTTGCATGCACACGTATAAAAATTGCGGTTTTTATCCAACGCAATCATAGGTTTGAACGTTGTTTTCAATTTAGACTTGTTTATATATCTCTCTATATATATCAGTGTAATAGAATAATCGGCATTAAAAAACAAAATCAATAAGGTTCACTGTAAATAAATGTTCATATATTTTAAAATATTTCCAAAAAAATATTCTGTCTGAGAGCGTGTTGGTTTGTCGTGATAGTGTAAACATAGTCGTTACAAGACTGTTTTCGAGCCTCAATCAAACGATGGCAAAGTGCAGATTGGTGACAAAAAAGTAAAACAACATGATGTCATTTGCGAATAAGTTTTATTAAAATTTCGATAAACCATACTGAAGAGATTAAAGTGAAACAAGATGGTCGGGTCGGAAATGTATCTTCATCAAAAGTTAAAGGGTACATTAAGTAACAGAAATAGATAAAACTGGACAGGCATAGAACTTTTACCCTGGAAGGTACAAACACGTTTTTACATGTGTCTCACAAATTTCTATAGACATCAATGTCATATGTTATATTGTATATGAGTATCTGCCAGAAACACATTGTTATGTCCTGTGGTTTTGTTGTTTTTTTGTGTTTTTTTTATGTTGTTGTTGTCGTTGTTTTTTTTTTTTTTTTTTTTTTTTTTTTTTGCATTTTAAACAAATCTTGTTTCATGTGTTTATCTGATTGCACGCGTTCATCTCATTTGGTGAGTATCTTTTTTAGTGTATTTGGCTAATTTCATGTGGTTTTTTTTTTCGTGTGTTTTGTACAATGCATTGAAACGGTATGTTTTATTTTCATTTGCTAGCATTGAATCAATACCTCTACTGGTCAATTGATTGTCTCTGCGTGTACCATCAGGTCAGTATTCAGTGTGTCTCATAACATGATTTATGAGATCTTCTTTTCAAAAGTCCAAAACAATTAAGAAACTTACTTAACCCCCTAAGCTAACGTTTGCTTTAATTGGACTTATTTTTTTTCAGTTCTGTTTGTCATATTGAAAATTATATGTATTCCTTTTGGACTGACCTATTCATACATTTTAAAAATTAACTATGTAAATAAGGTTATGGCCAAATAATCTCCTTTGAAAGGAGATGTTTTTTTTTTTTTGCATAAGATTGCTTTTTTTTATGGGGAGGCTATTTTGTCATCATAGGATATGTCAATACAACACATACCTACACCAATGAAGGAACACTTTAAATGACAGTGTGAAACAATGGTACAGGATGGTACGACAACGTTACCAGTGGTTTCTACAGGACCAAAAAGATGTTACCTGAAATAAATTCTTATTTATATCAAAATATTAAAGTGTGTCTTCTAGGGAACTGTGACATTGATGTCTTTCTTATACTATGCAGGGTAAAGTAAACATATATTTAAATAATACCGTTCTTAATTCAATTGTTATATGCATAATAAGTAAAATAATAAAAATAATAAAAATACCGAACTCCAATGAAAATTCCAAACAGAAAGTCTCTTATCAAATGGCAAAATCAAAAGCTCAAACACATCAAACGAATTGAAAACGACTGTCACATTCCCGACTTGGTACAGACATTTCCTTATGTAAAAAAGAACGGATTAAACGTGGTTTTAAAAATAGCTAACACTCTCACTTGTCATTACATAGCAATAAATCAGTACTTATTCATTGAAGTAAACGGTGTGTCCCTTATTTTTTGTCAAAATTATTTTCATCTAAAACAAACATTCTCGTTGAATACAAAATATACAACAACACACTGTTCCTTCTTTTGATTTAAAACTCATTATATTACATTTGTTAGCATAAGAATCAATATGTGTCATGTTCCATATATGATTCTTCAAGTGTACAGGCTAAACAGTTTCACCCAATTTTGGATAATTTGTTTAACCATACCCAGCTTAGGTTTTATTTATTCTTTTATTTAAAGCATGTTTTACTATTAAGAATAGCCTATATTCAACCAGTCCAAACAAGTATTCATTAAATTAGTCATATCTACAACTAGGACTGTTTCTTATATATTTATAGAAAAAAAAATTAAAAGGCACAGAACAAAAACAAATTTCCAGGTTCACATGCTTCCAGGCGATCAGTAACTGCATTATTATAATTAGTTTTTTGGAACAATTAGGCCGAAGTTGTTGAAATAGATATTGTCTTCCTGGGACTTTTACGTATATTAACATATATTCAAAGACCTATAAAAATCAACAATTAGTTTGAAATTTTGTCAGGCCAATTTAATAGGTTCACAAAATTCTTACATTATGTGTCATACACCAAGCACTTCTTTCTAAAAAAAAAATACCCATAATTGGCCATGTAACATCATATATCATATAATGAGACATTAAAAGTTTGTATCATTCAAATGATTCTAACTGAACATTTAAAAGTATTCCAGTAAATATAAAAAAGAAGATGTGGCATAAAGATGCAGGATAATTTTTGCAGGTGGAATATTCTTGTGACCTGTTACTTAAGGTTGCATACTTTACTTTTGTACACAGAATATTCATTTTCATCCGGTCATAATGTAGTATACTAAATTTGTTTTCAAAATTGGTAAGGATACGACAGTTTGATTTTCCAATGGGGTGATTTCGTTTGTGAATGATTATCCTATCCAGATGAGAACTGAACATATTTCATATTTAAAACTTTAAAATTTTGAAATAAGTGATAATAAATAAGCGTTTATATTAACGGATAAAAATAAACAAATTTCGTCCATTATAAACTGCAATACACATTATTTAATATAATGGAACACAATCTTAGATAAATAGTAATTCAGTCAAAATGTACATGAAGATAGAAACATGTTATTTTTAAAACCATTTACATTCAAAAGTTATATCCTATTTTTTAAATTGAAAACGTATGACAACTTCTCTAAAAAAAACAAAGCATCATTTCAGAGAATTTTAAATCATTCCTTCTAGAATCCTTTCCCGGTAATCCCACTGCCCAGTGAATACGGACACTATACACAGTGTATGCGTTTTCGTTTCCCTAGTCTATTGTGTGTTTATAATTCATGTATGAAATAAAAGTTGATGTGAACAAAATTTTTTAATCGAAAAGTGCAGGTTGAAAATCTGAGAGTATTTTTGTAGTTTCCGATATGTACAGATTCTACAGATGTTGCAGTTTTTGAAAAGGGCTGTAACAATTTTTTTAGAGCAAGAAGGGGAACCTTGTCATGTCTCATTGAGCTAATGCACTCTTAAAAAAGGATTGAAACGCTGTTAACTATTCAACTTGTCACAGCAGTTTGTTACAGCATCGAGAAAAGATTGGTTGACATGTATCTACAGTTATGTTAAATTATATATCGCTGAAAGTATACTGATTGCCAATGAAAACGCATCACTTTAATTTTTTAAAATAACATTTTTATACAAAATAATAGTTTCTTTACATTAATTGTTAATGACAGTTAATGGGTTTATCTAAAGATAAAAGTCAAACAAAAATGTTCAATTACCACGATTCGAACGGAATGCGTTCATGAAACATAACGCTACAATTCACTAACTCACAGTCTCAATAACGAATGTGTCCACCGCGTGCTGCAACGCAATCTCTACAACGACGTGGCACTGACCTGAGCAAACGTCGGACACACTGTTGTGGAATGTTTGTCCATTCTTCCCGCAATGCAATTTCAATTTGACGCAGCGTAACTGGTGGTGGCTGTCGTCGTCTTACGGCTTGTCCAATTTGATCCCATAAGTGTTCAATTGGACTCAAATCCGGCGTTAAGGCTGGCCATAGTAATATCTGAACATGGTTGATATTGATGAACGCAGTTGTGAGTCATGCGGAGTGTGCACGAGCGTACTCTTGTTGAAACAGATTAACATCTTGATGCCTAGCCATAAACGGTATAACGGTCGGCCGTAAAACTTTATCAATGTAGCGTTGGGCGTTTAAACTGCCATTGATAGTGATGAATGGAGTTTTATGATTGAACGATATTCATCCCCATACCATGACACTACCACCACCCCAACGATCTGTCTATTTGATACATGAATCTCCATAGCGTTCTTCTCTTCGTCTCCACACACGAGTTCGTCCATCACTACGGCGAAGACGGAATCTTGATTCGTCCGTCCATAAGACAGTTGTTCATTGCCTGTGTGACCATCTCTGACGATGTTGTGTCCATCAAAGGCGATTTTAGCGTCGTACTGCTGTCAGCATGTTACCACGGAAAGGCCGCCGTGCCCTTAATCCACTGCTGCGCAAACGGCGTCTTACCGCGTTTGCTCCAATTTGTCTCCTATGGACGCCGACAGTCTCTCGTGCTGATTGGACAGCATACGGAAACGATCTCGCAGGTGCTGAAGACGAATGTATCGGTCCTGTTGGGCAGTATTTGCTCTCTGTCTTCCGGGACGTGGCATATAATTCAAAGAACCAGTTTGGTTTAATCTTTAGATGAGTCTGGTAATTGTTGAGGCCGAACATTGCATTCTGCGTGCAATTTCACGACTTGAAATGCCTCCTTGCACCATGCCCCAACCTTCATGTCACTGGTAGTCTGAAAGTCTTGGCATCTACTCCTTAGGTTATTGCAGTGGCTTACAAAAAAGGATGGGAAATTTCAATTCTTAAGCAAGGCTTTCCAAAACAAACATGAAAAAATCACTCGTGCGTAAAATAGCGGTGCACTCGACTCTCCCTCCTTTTTCTGTAACCAAGCACGTAACTTTTTTTTCTAAAATCATTCAAGCGTAAAATTGTCGAAAGAAGTCCGACAATTCATTTTCAAACCGATATACAAATATTTATATTTTTTGTAAATATTTGAAATTTACAAGTGTTGCGTTTTCAATAGCACTCTGTATATATTGGTGATTACGTGACTACTTTAACTTTAATAAAAGGTCTGATAATTGTATAACAACGGTTCACATGCGTAGTTTATGAAAATAAGACATTAAACATAAGTTCTGATAAAGAGAAAAGTGATAATAAGTGAATTTTCGCTGGTTAATTTTCGATTCAACTACATATATTCTAAAATGTTCCTCAACCTCACTGCAGAATCGGAATACGATATTTTTTACGATTCAAAATTGTAATTGTCTGAGTTATACAGATATATCGCATGGATATAAAAAAAGAAGATGTGGTGATATTGCCAATGAGACAACTCTTCACAAGAGACCAAATGACACAGAAATTAACATCTATAGGTCACCGTACGGCTTCAACAATGAACAAAGCCCATACTGCATAGTCAGCTATAAAAGGCCCCGAAATGACAAATGTAAAATAATTCAAACGAGAAAACTAACGGCCTAATTTATGTACAAAACAATAATGAAAAAACAAATATGTAACACAGCAACAAACTACAACCACTGAATTACAGGGTCCTGACTTGGGGCAGGCACTTACATACATACTAGGGCGGGGTTAGACATGTTCGAACCCTCCGCCTAACCTGCGACAGTGGAGTAACAGTACAACATAAGAACACACTATAAACGTCAGTTTAAAAGGCTTAACTCATCAGATGGATACAAATAGAAATACATCTAACAAAAACACAGAGTGGACGTAGCCGGGTACTTGTACATCCCAACAACAAAAAGACAATAAGTACAGATCTGAGAGTACTCGCAGTTACTGACAGCTAGTTCAAATCCACTAACAACTAATAAAAAAATCGTGCATCTAAGACTAGATTATCAATCAGTACACATCCAACATCCAATGGATTTAGTGTAACGACGTCATAAACATTCAGAGAAAAAAATGACCTTGTGCAATGCCAAGATACTGGTATCGACAGATTGTAGATCCATGAATGTGCATATGTATAGAACAAGAATATTTAGTTTTCTTTTAATTTGTTGATAACAAAATCAATATTAATACCAATAAAAACAATATTCAAAGATCTAATTACAGTGTTGAATTGGTAACCTTTAAGAATAAGTTTATATAAAGGATCGATAAGTTTACCAGGATCGTTTCTAAATTTCAGGGCACGGTAAACAACATCTCCGTAAAAATGAGGATGTGCTATCCCGATTGAAATAAGTTTTCTACAAGTACAACCAAACTTCAAAACCAAATCTTTATATCTATGGAAGAATTTAGTAAAGGTTTTAAGTAATTTGTGGTAACGAAATTCCTGGCTTAATAATTTACCAGTAATCCATAGATTACTTTCGTTAAAATTAAAAAAAACTTCACAACAGACACGGACTTAGCGAACGAGTTGTGAAATATAAACACCGTAAGATGGTGCCAAAGGA